CAGAACTGCTGCCTAGCCATTCAGTCCCTAGTCTGTAACAGTGAATAGGATTCTTCCATCCTAAGTGCAGGACTCTGCACTTGTCCTTGTTGAACCTCATCAGGTTTCTTTTGGCCCAATCCTCTAATTTGACTAGGTCCCTCTGTATCCTATCCCTACCCTCCAGTGTATCTACCACTCCTCCCAGTGTAGTGTCATCTGCAAACTTGCTGAGAGTGCAGTCCACGCCATCCTCCAGATCATTAATGAAGATATTGAACAAAACTGGCCCCAGGACCGACCCTTGGGGCACTCCACTTGAAACCAGCTGCCAACTAGACATTGAGCCATTGATCACTATCTGTTGAGCCCGATGATCTAGCCAGCTTTCTATCCACCTTATAGTCCATTCAGCCAGCCCATACTTTTTTAACTTGCTGGCAAGAATACTGTGGGAGACCATATCAAAAGCTTTGCTAAAGTCAAGATATATCACATCCACTGCTTTTCCCATATCCACAGAGCCAGTTATCTCATCATAGAGGGCAATCAGGTTGGTCAGGCATGACTTGCCCTTGGTGAATCCATGTTAACTGTTCCTGATCACCTTCCTCTCCTCCAAGTGCTTCAAAATGGATTCCTTGAGGACCTGCTCCATGATTTTGCCGGGGACTGAATTGAAGCTGACTGGTCTGTAGTTCCCCGGGTTCTCTTTTTTTCCTTTTTAAAATATAGGCACTATATTTGCCTTTTTCCAATCATCCGGGACCTCCCCCGATCGCCACGAATTTTCAAAGATAATGGCCAAAGGCTCTGCAATCACATCAGCCAACTCCCTCAGCACCCTTGGATGCATTAGCTCTCGACCCATGGACTTGTGCATGTCCAGCTTTTCTAAATAGTCCTTAACCTGTTCTTTCACCACTAAGGGCTGCTCACCTACTCCCCATGCTGTGTTGCCCAGTGCAGCAGTCTGGGAGCTGCCCTTGCCTGTGGAGACTGAGGGGGGAAAAGCATTGAGTATTTCAGCTTTTCCCACATCATCTGTCACTATGTTGCCTCCCCGATTCAGTAAGCGTCCCAAACTATCTCTGACCTTCTTCTTGTTGCTAACATATCTGTAGAAACCCTTCTTGTTACCCTTCACATCCCTTGCTAGCTGCAACTCCAATTGTGCCTTGGCCTTCCTGATTACACACCTGCATGCTCTAGCAATATTTTTATACTTCTCCCTAGTCATCTGTCCAAATTTCCACTTCCTGTAAAGCTTCCTTTTTGAGTTTAAGCTCAGTAGGTGGGAGATGGGAGAGACAGAGATTGCATGAGGAGCTGTGGGGAATGCGGGACTGACTAGGTAAAGAGACTAAGATAAGAACCTGCTGTGTGTGTGTGTGTGGGGGGGGTGAATAACAACACTGAGACTGGACAAGGAGCCTGGGGAGAGAAATTGGAACTGGACTGAGAGCCAGGGGGGATGGGGAATGTGGATGATGAGACGAGACTGGAGGCCAGTCTGGGGGAGAGAGACAGCTTAGATGAAGATCTGGGGTGGACTGGAAATATCTGGGCAAGGAGACTAGAACAGGGAGCCCTGAGGGGTGAGGTAGGGCTTGCTGGACAAGGATTCTGAGACTAGATGAAAAGCCTGAGAAGTAGAGACTGGGAGTGGCTAGATAAGGAGAATGAGACTAAGATGAGAAGCCAGGGGTGGGGAAGAGGCAGGACTGGGACAAGGACCAGTGGGAGAGATAAGGTACTACAGATCACGCTTGGGGGAAAGGGACAGACCAGTCTGGAATAGAAACAAATACTCCAGAGTCTCACCATTCCTCTCCTGTGAATAAGTATTGGTGTAACCCAGTGGCAAAGTGTGCTGGCCCCCTCGAGTACTGCTCCACAGCAGTAGTATGTTATCATCTATCAGTTACTCTGTTAGTTCAAATGGCAGAGATCTTTGTGATGGATCCAAAGATTCCAACCCTGCTCATGACCCATGTGGGCCTCAGTACAATGTTTTTCAGTTCGCTTTTTCAAAAACCTAGGAAATTACACAAAAACTATGTTAAGCAAACATTATTAGGCTTGCAAAGTCAAACATTCAAAATTTGGAAATGCCAAAATTAAGGTTGCCAGGGCAACCTTAATTTGGCCTTTATATGTATGTATTATGATACAGTCTAATTACAGGTTGTGTAATACAGGAGGCTGTTGTCTGCAGGCACCCTGCTTCATTTATTGCAGTTGGAAGGTGTGTGGTGAATGAGACAGGGGATTGTAGGAAGAGGAATGATTGTCTCATAGAATCATAGCCGTGTAGGATGGGAAGGGACCTCGAGAGGTCATCCAATCCAATCCCCTGCACTCAGGGAAGGACTACGTAATAACTAGACCATTCCTGACAGGTGTTTGTACAACCTGTTCTTAAAACCTCCAATGATGGAGAATCCACAACCTCCCTAAGCAATTTGTTCAGTGCTTAATTACCCTGACAATTAGAAAGCTTTTCCTAATGTCCAAACTAAATCTCCCTTTCTGCAATTTAAGCCTATCCTGAGAGGTTAACAAGAACAATTTTTCTCCCTCCTCCTTATAACCATATTTTATGTACTTGAAAATGGTTATCATGCCCCCACTCAGTCTTCTTTTCTCCAGACTAAACAAACCCCATTTTTCAATCTTTCCTCATAGGTCATATTTTTTAGAACTTTAATCATTATTGTTGTTCTTCTCTGGACTTTCTCCAATTTGTCCACATCTTTCCTGAAACATGGCACCCAGAACTGGACACAATACTCCAGCTGAGGCCTTATCAGCACAGAGTAGAGTGGAAGTGGTTAAGGAAACTGAATGCTGCCCTGGAGAATTTGATTCTACTCCTACCTCTGCGATAGAGTTCCTATGTGATACTGGGCAAATCACTTAAACCAAACTTTTACCAGGTGGTCACTAATTGTGTGTTCCTCATTTTATGGGTGCCCAGAGTGAGACCCTGGGGCTTTATGTGCAGAAGTGCTGAGCACTCACAGCTGCAACTGAAGTCAATGGAAGCTGTGCTTTGAACATACATAGGGCCCTACCAAATTCATGGCCATGAAAAACGCATCACAGAGCATGAAATCTGGACTCCCCCGCGCCCCCCCCCCCCCCGGTGAAATCTGGTCTTTTGTATGCTTTTACCCTACACTATACTGATTTCACCAGGGGGTAGGAGGGAGACCAGCGTTTAACATACTGGGGGTCCTGACCCAAAAGGGAGTTATAGGGGGTGTCACGGTATTACCACCCTTACTTTTGTGCTGCCTTCAGAGCTGGGTGACCAGAAAGTGGCGGCTGTTGGCCAGGCGTCCATTTCTGAAGTATCAGGGGGTAGCCATGTTAGTCTGTATCTACAAAAACAACAAGGAGTCTGGTGGCACCTTAAAGACTAACAGATTTATTTGGGCATAAGCTTTCGTGGGTAAAAACCTCACTTCTTCAGGTGAATAGAGTGAAAGTTACAGATGCAGGCATTATATACTGACAAATGGAGAGCAGGGAGTTACTTCGCAAGTGGAGAACCTGTGTTGACAGGGCCAATTCAATCAGGGTGGATGTAGTCCACTCCCAATAATAGATGAGGAGGTGTCAATTCCAGGAGAGGAAAAGCTGCTTCTGTAATGATCCAGCCACTCCCAGTCCCTATTCAAGCCCAGATGAATGGTGTTAAATTTGCAGATGAATTTTAGTTCTGCTGTTTCTCTTTGAAGTCTGTTCTGAAGTTTTTTTGTTTAATGATAGTGACTTTTAAATCTGTAATAGAATGACCAGGGAGATTGAAGTGTTCACTTACTGGCTTATGTATGTTACCATTCCTGATGTCCGATTTGTCTCCATTTATTCTTTTGCGGAGGGACTGTCCGGTTTGGCCAATGTACATGGCAGAGGGGCATTGCTGGCACATGATGGCATATATAACATTAGTGGATGTGCAGGTGAATGAGCCCTTGATGGTGTGGCTGATGTGGTTGGGTCCTCTGATGGTGTCGCCAGAGTAGATATGGGGACAGGAAGGTAGCTCCCCGCCAGCAGCAGCACAGAAGTAAGGGTGGCAAAACCATACCATGCCACCCTTACTTCTGCGCTGCTGCTTTCAGAGCTGGGCAGCTGGAGAGTGGCGGCTGCTGACTGAGGGCCCAGCTGTGCAGGCAGCAGCGCAGAAGTAAAGGTGGCAATACCATGCCATGCCATCCTTACTTCTATGCTGCTGCTGGAGGCAGCTCTGCCTTCAGAGATGGGGTCCCAACCAGCATCCACTGCTCTCCAGCTGCCCAGCTCTGAAGACAACACCACCGCCAGCAGCAGCGCAGAAGTAAGGGTAGCAGTACCGCAACCCCTCCTACAATAACCTTGTGACCTCCCCACAACTCCTTCTTCTCCTACAATAACAACACCATGACATTTCTGATTTAAATAGCTGAAATCATGAAATTTACGATTTTTAAAATCCTATGACCATGAAATTGACCAAAATGGACCGTGAATTTGATAGGGCCCTAAACATACGTATACTGTGTTATATAATGGTAAGTACTCTGAAAAATCAGGTTCCAGGATCACAAACTGGGCTCCCCAAATTAGTGGATAGTTTTGACTTTAATCTCTTTGTGCCTCAGCTCTCCATCTGCAGAAGAGGGATAATAAATACCCACTCATCTCACAGAAGTGTGGTGAAAAATCAAGTCACCAATGCTTGTGAAACACTCAGATGCTATAGTTCTGAGCGTTGTACAAAGCCCCTGAGAAATTTAATACTTCTGACTTCAGAGTAGGATTTGAATAATGTGCAGTAAGTAAAGCCTACAGCCACACACTGAACAATGAGGAGAAAAAAATATTGACTAGCTGCTTATTAGTTGAGTACTGTCCATCCTGTGCACTGAACGAGGCATGGATTCTGTGGGAAAAGTAGTATGTGATCATGTAATTGAGGACTGGACCATAACATATGCACAAGGGAGTTGAATTAAGATTGCACAGGCAACTTTAATTCTGGAATTTCCTAACTTTTGAGTGCTTGACTTTGCAACTGGATTAAGGTTCTTTCAGAGTATTTTTTGTGTGTAATATTAGTATCAACCCATAGATTGGTGCTCTATAAATGAGGATAAGTTTAAATCAGGAATAACTTCCCATTGAAGTCAACTGAGTGACACTAGTATAAAGCAAGTGAGATGAGATCTTCAGACACAGATGCAGAGATATTTCTAAATCTTGTTGGAATCTTTCCAGGCTCACATTGATTCTTACTATCCCATAAATAACCAGAAAAGTAAAGGAATGATGTTTTTCCAATATCTGAGCTATGCAATTTGCATCTCTTATTAAATCATTGTTGTTTGAAAGTTACATTTTTTTATGTTTAGTTTAATATTAAACTGTAAAAATTCAGGCTGTCTCACAGTTTTACTCTTAATAACAATAAGGAAAATAACTGGTACATACCTCCCTGGGAAAGAAGTGTAAGTCATTGAATGACAGGTTAAGATACACCAAAGTGTCGACTAAAGGTGTAAGGTCTGGAAGGAGAGTCAGGAAATAGGCCTAGAAGACATAAGCAGTAGAAAAGATATAGTAACTAAATAAAAATCAACTTTTTTTATGAAGAGGGAAAAAAACGAGCTAAGAACAGGCTCCACCAGGACTTAATTTAAAAGATTTATCATTAAAAAAATAGACAAATCAGCAACATGACTCCATTGATAGATACATAGAATCATAGAAGTGTAGGACTGGAAGGGACTTTAGGTTATCTAGTCCAATTTCCTGTACTCAAGGCAGGACTAGACTATTCCTGACAGGTGTTTGTCTAACCTGTTCTTAAAATCTTTCAATGACGGAGATTCCACAACCTCCCTAGGCAATTTATTCCAGTGTTTAACTATCCTGACAGTTAGGAAGTTTTTCCTAATATCCAACCTAAACCTCCCTTACTGCAATTTAAGCCCATTGCTTCTTGTCCTATCCTGAGAGGTTAACAAGAACAATTTTTCTACCTCCTCCTTCTAGTAACCTTTTATGTACTTGAAAACTGTTATCATGTCCCCTCTCAGCCTTCTCTTCTCCAGACTAAACAAACCCCATTTTTTTGAATCTTTCTTCATAGATCATTTTTCTAGAACTTTACTCATTTTTGTTGCTCTCCTCTGCACTTCCTCTAATTTGTCCACATCTCTCCTGAAATGTGGTGCCCAGAACTGGACACAATACTCCAGCTGATGCCTTATCAGCGTGTCTTGCTTACAATATTCCTGCTAATATATCCCAGAATTATGTTTGCTTTTTTGCAACAGTTTTACACTGTTGACTCATATTTAGCTTGTGACTATAAACCCCAGATCCCTTTCCACAGTTCTCCTTTCTATGCAGTCATTTCCCATTTTGTGTGTGTACAACTGATTGTTCCATCGTAAGTGGAGTACTTTGCATTTGTCCTCATTGAATTTCACCCTATTTACTTCAGGCCATTTCTCCAGTTTGTCCAGATCATTTTGAATTTTAATCCTATCTTCCAATGCACTTGCAACCAACCCCTCCCAGTTTGGTATCGTCTTCAAACTTTATAAGTATACTCTTTATGACACTTTCTAAATCACTGATGAAGATGCTGAACAGAGCCAGACCCAGTACCAATCCCTGTGAGTCCCCACTGGATATGCCCTTCCAGCTTGACTGTGATCCACTAATAACTACTCTCTAGGAATGGTTTTCCAACCAGTTATGCACCTACCTTATAACAGCTCCGTCTAGGTTGTATTTCCCTAGTTTGTTTATAAAAAGGTCCTATGAGACAGTATCAAATCACTATGCAAGGAGCATCAAAAGATTTGCCTAGCTGAGGGCCACATTGGCAACTCAAAACTCTGTCTGCCTTGCCTCTCAGCTCCGACTTCCCTCTTGCATCAAATGTAAGCTACTTGTTCCCACTTTCTATGCTCTGCATGGCCTAGTTCCTACTTTTATCTCTTATTATGCCCTCTTTGTACAAAATATACTGGGCTCTTTCCTGTGATCTTCCTAAGGTGCATGGAATGAGTACTCTGGGGCTGTCTAGCTAAATAGGTTCTGGGATGTACACATGATGTTTGCAACTCAGAGCTCCAGAGTCCTAGAAAGTGAAGCTTCTTCTTTTCATTTTTTAAAAGTCCTTTCTTTCAAAGCTAGGGAACCCCATACAAAAATCTATGGTAAAAAAATATGAATTAATGATTTTGACTCAAATCAGGAAATTAAGATACGGTTGCATGCATAATCTTTGTCTACACCCTTGGTATAAATAGTTTGATACAGTATTTAATTACATCATATATTATAATCTCAATACATTAATATACTTTTCTCTACAACCTTACATCTATTTATGTGCAGTAACTATTTCCTTGTAAGCTAGAATTCATGAGTCATTTCTATGAAAGTTACATAGTAAACCATACCTACCTAGCAGATACTACAGATTGAATACAAACTGGGAGCAATAATAAATAGTTGAATAAATATTAAGCATTATTATACTGACAGATCAATTGTCAATGCTTTGACTCAACAGATCCATACATTACATGAAAACAGAAATAATTAAAAACAGTAAGTACATAACAGGGCCGAATTGATGCCAGGCAAGATTCTAGAAACTTTAGACTGTGATGTCTCTGGCCTTCTAGAAAGAGGGTTGGGCACCTTTTCCCACCTTCAGGATCTTGCCACTCCTACTTGCATGGTGCTGAAGCAATCTGATGGCACTACAGGAGGAGAAGAAGCAGCAATGTGTTCAGTCCACTACTGCAGGAGGTGCTGGGAGCCAGTAGATGTCACATAAATCATGAGGTGATTTATGTGAAAATGGGGAGAGACACACAACATAACGGAAGAAGAGTGAGGGTGAAAAGGGGGAGGAAATAGATAATACAGAGGGAGACCAAGGTGAGGCAAGAGAATTAAAAAGGCGCATCTAGAACAACCAAGCTTAAGACTGCTCTAAAATTACTAAACAAATCTTAAATGATTTTAGCCATTTTTAATTTTTAAAAAGTGGCCATATACTGAGAATTTTAATACCAGGTTTCTAGGTGGATTAAGTTAAGAAAGCCAAGTTATGAATCCCAGAGAAACAGTGTTTCTAATTAAAGCAGCAGTTGACCATTAAGGATAGCGATATGGAGAGTGGATGCAGTTGTAATTTTTAAAAGGTATACCTTAAGATTAAGTTCAGTTCTGCTATGCATTATGCAATATAAAACTGCCATTCTGGCCCTGGCCATCAGTTGTTCTTGTTCATCCTGCTCATTTAACAAATTCTGGTACCCAAATCCCTGGATACCCTTTATAGTATCATCATCAAGGGTACGATCAGGTTCTGCGAGTAAAAAATATATGTAGTCAAATACGGAAATAAACATCGAGATTAGGAAATAAAGAATTAAAGCTTCATTATGTAGATCCCAAATTTATAGCCAAATCCTTCCATGCACTGTCAGGCCTTACTCAGGCAAAATTCCCTGATACAAATCAGTATCTTAGCAATGCCTGGGTAAAGACTCCAGAATTTGACCCTTTTAAAGCATTCAAATTTATTCAACTTCTTTTTTTTTTGAAGGGTGAGCAGCAGAATGGGTTTCAGCTATTGATAAAAGGGCCTGAGCAGTGACTTTGGATTTGGAGCAGAACTTTCCTAAAGTTTGGGAGCATTTTGTTCAGGTCCATCTGTAGCTTCAACCCACAACAGATGATGTTAAAGAGATTGAAGATTTTGATTCTGTTTAGATAAACCATTAAAGCCTACATTTTCAGAAGTGGCAATTGATTCTGAGGGTTTTAATTCTGGGAAGCTCAAACCATGGCACAAGCTTGGGATGAATTTCAGGTTTGGTTACAAAAGCTTTCTACCACTCTTACTGTTAACAGCCCAAATGGATTCCTCACTCAGTAGTTTAAGACCTTACAATCCAAAAGTCCAACAGAGTGAAAAGCTTTGTCTCTGAATTTCCTTCCTGTCTTGGTTTTATTGTAATTGTACATTTCTATTATTTATTATTATAATGTCCATTTCATTCTCCCCTTAAAAATGGCATGCAGTATTGGGAGTTGATAGTAGGACTGCTCTTCATCTTTTATATTGCCATTACAAAACTGCCACTACAGTGCTGTACATAGTTTATTTCATACACGTAATGTATATATTTTGCCCCTACCTGAATAAGACTCTTTTTTGCTCTGTCCATGAGTGTACAGCTTTATATTGTCCATAAAAGATCCTTTTCCTTCGTCACCTTCTTCTAAAATCTGTTCCAATGAGTTAGATTTTCTCATTTTCTCCTCCAAAGCCATTTCTGAAAAAAGTTGGGAGTGGTGGTAGAAGAGGTATGTGAGAAATGTATTAACTTAGTCAGACTACCCCATTTCTCATTTACACAAAGCACCATTTACACAGCTCTGGCAGCATAAACGGACCAGCAAGTCAGTGTTTACTTTTAAGGCCCCTTTACATTACCAGAGCAGCATAAAGGGACATAGTGTAAATGACCACCAGGGAACGGAATTTCTTATCATAGAGAAGCTTGCATGTCTCATAGGACAGCTATCTGCAATTCCTGATGCACTATTTCGCTAGTATTCCTAGCAGTCATTTAAAAAAAACCCTATACCTATATTCAGGGCCGGCTCCAGGGTTTTTGCCGCCCCAAGCGGCACAAAAAAAAAAAAAAAAAGCTGCGATCGCGATCAGCGGCGGCAATTCGGCGGAAGGTCCTTAACTCCGAGCAGGAGTGAGGGACCGTCCGCTGAATTGCCGCCGAATAGCTGGACGTGCCGTCCCTCTCTGGAGTGGCTGCCCCAAGCACCTGCTTGGCAAGCTGATGCCTGGAGCCGGCCCTGCCTATATTCCCACTAAAATTCACTGTAGGCTTATCTTAGAGTTAAGATTGATGCACTGTATTTCCAGCCAATGCAAACCATAAGAAGAAAGGAAATATGCATCTATGTCATCAACAGCCCATCTGCACTCCACTCATCAGTTCCCTTTCTCAACCTCAGCTCCCTCCCTTCCACCAACCACAATTCACTTATCTCCACCCATTTTGAACAACCAATGTGCAGCCTCAACACCACAACCACATTAATGGTTGTGTTCATATGATTAAATATAGAGTTGGTGTGGTTTCATGTTCCATTTTACATAATTCTATACATAGTTTTGTACTGGGGTGTGTAAAAGAGATAGAGGGCAAGATTGCAAATGGTGGCTGCAAACTATGTTTTTATGTAACATTCAGGAAATGTTATATAAATGGGTGATTTATCTGGTTGGTGATGGGCCCAAATTTGGAAGCAATTTTAATGTAAAAATAACAGAATTGAAATATGCACATGTGTCGGCTGGTGTGTTGTATTTACAGTGGGAGTTGAGTGCCTATTTGTTCAGGATGAGGGTGGAGATATATATTAATATTGACAGTTCTGAACTATAGATTGTGCAATCAATTTAACGACAAAATGCCATAACTATCTAGTTATAGTGTGTATTCATTTTAACGTTCCATGCAACCCTTGAAATAAGTGTCTCTCTAAGAAATATTTTAAGAAAATAATGGGTGAATATTGCCTACTCAACTTTTTTCTACTCATCACCCTTCTCCAGAAAAAATACATTAAAAATGTTTACAATATTTCAGGTCATAAAAGGCCAAGCCTGTAAATTAGCACAGAGAAATAACAGAACTGGACTGTCTGACCAGTCCTAGAATCAGGTCAGATTCTTACATTTTCATTAGCAAACAGAAATTACATTTAGTGACAGTTAAGGCTTGCTTACTTCCCCTTTGTGAATCACTACTAATTTAGCTACAGGAATAATTGCTCACCCCTTTCTAGACCAGGCATCAGAGGAGACTAGACACACTTTCACAGTGAGTTACCCACCTATTTAGTAGTTAATATAAAATTGGTGAGTGGGAATCACCAGTTGATTCTATCCCTGGCTCTCGGAGAGGAGTGCAGTTTACAGTGGTGAAAGATAGGCTAACCAAAACTAGGTTAGTTGCTCTAAAAGGTCATAGCACAGTGGCTAAACTTGGGATTGTGTATGCCATAAACTTGGCTTTTAGGCCACCAGTGATTTCACAGTAAGCCCTACCTCTTGGCATGTTATTTATCGTTGAATTAAAATTCAGTGGGTTTGCTTTGGCACACATTTTCTGTTACAGCTGAAGAGGTATAAAATATAGATGAACAATATCGATGTATAACTGATATTCTAGGAATCAGCACGTGAGGATTAACAATCTGGACAAAAGATAGGTCCCAGAGAGTTGCAGAGTTTTTGCAAAAGGGATGCAAAGAAGAGTGAGGCAATCCAGGGAGGCAGTGGAAGAAGGAATCATAAGAAAGGGTAATTTTATTATTATTCTCTATCAATTCATTTTGCATCACAACATCATGAAAAATTCAAACAATGCTCAAAGTTTATATTCTATGTTTTGGTTTTTGCCTATTTTTTGCCTATTCAATGACATATTTTATATATATATATATATATATATATATATATATATATATATATATATATATAAAAGGTTAAAAGTTATGCTGTAACACAATCTTAACTGTAGCACAGGCCCTGCTGTACCATAATTTTATCAAACATTATTTACTTAGAGGTAGAAAATTGGAAGAAATATGGTTCTCTAGTGCCTGTCTCTCCTGGGAGCAAAGGAAGTTGATTGTGGGGGATACACTCATCTTCTCCTAATCAAAGATCTCTGCTTAGTGCTTTAGACTTGGAGGAAAGCCATAACAACCCAAGATCCCTGGTAACATGGGGCCTGATCCTGCAAACCATTACTCTCCCGTGTGTAGTCAATGGGGCCATCTACATGAATAAAGACTACTTGCATGGCAACAAGCCTTTGCAGGAATGACCCCATATTGTTGCCTTGATTTATCAACCTGTTCAACCCTGTGCACATAAGCAAAAACCACTATGGTTAGAAAGCCCAATCCATTCTTTGCCCAGAAATACCATCAGAGTCCTACTGAAGCCAGTGGGCCCAATTCACTGTTGTCCTGCACCTTATGTAGTCATTTAGACCTAGATTCTTAAAGGTATTTAGATGCTGCTGTACTCAGGAGCCTAAATCTTATTCTCACTTAAGAGCCAAAATCCTACTTACTGGCAATGGGATTTAGGCTCTTCAGTGCCTAAATCACTTCTGAAAATAAGATTAAGGCTCCTATATCAATTAGGCAATGCAACGCTGAACTCAGCAACACCTAAATACCTTTAAAAATCTGGGCCTTACACTAGTACAAATGATTGCAAAATGATAGTAAACCAGAATATTAGGATTTTACACTCATTTAAATGACTACACAAGATGCAGGGCTACAATGAACTGGGCCTAGAAGGACTCTGTGCAGGTGTTAGGACCATCTTTCATGGATCCCGTTGCAGGATTAGGGGCCAGTTTTCAAAGTCTCAAGCAACGGTGCTTTAAACACTTTCCTTATATTATTAAGTATTTTAAGATATTCTTAGTATAAATTGTTACCTGTTGTTAACGTTTTTAAAAATAAAGTTAGTTTAGTTATTACTAGCTACAATTTTGCACTTTCTAGTTCTTAAATGATGATGTAAAATTCTCACAAACAGACAAATGGCAAAGTTTTTTTCCTGTAAAGGAGGCCTATTTTGGAAATGCTTTCAGTAAAAATCATGCACAGACAAAAGTGAATTAGAACACTTGACAATGTAAAATACAGTACCTATGATACTCTGTCTCTCAGGCTTTCTTTGTGAAATTACTGGGAACTCCTCATTATTGGACAATACCGTTGTGTTAACTTCAGTCTGTATGCTCTTTCTCACTTTATTGGTCAACTGGGTACTGAGTTTTTGATAGTTACAGCGAGAAACAACTGGCTTGCTAAAGGTTGCCATCACAGGTGATGGGTGAGAAGAGGACACTGCAGCTAAGCTCCCAAAAGTAAACTCTGGTAAAGTAAAATAAGCAGGCTCATCCTTCGGTAAACCAAGAAGCTGCATGCGAAAGGATTTACGACGTTTGTGTAATGGGAAGCTGGAGGGACCACTAGGAGTTGGAGCTATAATAATATCTTTTTTAAGAATTTGATCAGGAAAAAGATTTTGGACTTTGAGTTGGACTGATGTTCGACTGCTTGAATAATAGCCAGAAAGAGTAATTCTATCCTTGTCAGTTGTGCTTGCTGCAGCAGCAATGTCTGGTAAAGACCAATAAACAGAGTCACTCTCCTCGGGGGGAGCTAGAACCTCCATGTCAGAGGATCTACCATCTTTCTGCGATGGGCAGCCAGCAGGTGTACAAAAATAAGGAGCAGTAAGAGTCAACTCCTTTTTTAGATTTTGATCAAGAAGGACGTGTGTATCTTTGGGATGGACTTGTGTTTGACCACTAGAATTTTGGTCAAGAAGGAGATGTGCATCTTTGGGCTGGACTTGTGTTTGACCACTGAAATAACTACTGGAAAAAATATTACTGTCTTCCTCATTTGTGCTTCTTATCACTCCAGGTCGGTCTTTTCCAGGAATCCTGTCTGGAGAACACAAAAGAAAGAAAAGTGAGGATACATATATAACTAGGCATACATTTCACACCTTTTCCAAAGAAATTTTGTTAATGGCTCGAACTGGTTGCTTCAGAGAGAATTTCCCCTAAACTGAGTAAACACACAAAAATAATAATTTAAAAAAATCAACCCTACTGCATCACAAAATGTTTTACTTTGTACATTTATTTGACAGATATAATTTAATTTTAAACAAAGTAAACAACACCGAATGATCTGTAGTAATTTTGTAAACATGTGAGTAAGTGTTAGACATCTATATTTAGAATGCTTACAATGAGCCACACAGATTAGTGAAAAACTAATTACTGAGCTCGGCGCCGTATTATTGCCTAGGCCGACAAGGCCTAGGCCTAGGGCGGCAAATTTTCAGGGGCGGAAGCTTCCCTCCGCGCCCCGTCCCCCTGCTCCAGCTCACCTCTGCCTCCTCTGCAAGCGCGCCGCGGCGTCCTGTTTCTCTCCCCTCCCAGCGCTTGTGCTGCGAAACAGCTGTTTCGCGGGGCAAGGAGGGAGGGGGGAGGAGGGGGAACGCCACGCGCTGGGGGAAGAGGTGGGGCCGGGGGCGGGGATTTGGGGAAGGGATCCAATAGGGGAAGGGAGGGGGCGGCTTTGGGGTGGGGACTTTGGGGAGGGGGTTGGAATGGGGGCGGGAAAAGGGCGGAGTCGGGGCGGGGCCAGGGCCGCAATTATTTCCCGGCCTAGGGGCGGCAAAATTATTAATCCGCCACTGACTGAGGTTCTACTGCACATAAAACTTGATTATTGTGATAGTTCTGAGAGTGCTGAATCAAAGATTAGGGTCCCACTGTGTGAGGCACTGGACACACATAACAAAAAGGCAGTCCTTGCTGCAAGAAGCTTGCAGGGGCTCTCTCTGGGGCAGTGTTCCTCCACAGAACCCTACCATGGGGCTGTGACTGAGAGCCACAATTTAATCCTTTATGAAGTGTGTTGCTCCAAAGAACAATATATACCACCTTGAACAAGAAGAAGCAAATTAAATTAATGTCCACTGGTTAAATTACCAAATGGCTGATTTGTTAATTTACCAACAAATAATTTCAAACTATTAGCCAGTCATAAACTGACATATTTAGTTTCTAATAATGGTCACTTGGACTAACATCCATCCCATTATGAAGGACCCACATAAGGCTCTCTATACCATCTAGGCCCCATGATAGCCATGCTTGTGGGGAGTGGAGGCTCAGGCAGAAGCAACCATTCAGGGGGCTTCCACATCCCCTAAACACCATGATGTGGGCTCTGTGCCGGCTTCAACTAGGATGATGCAGATGAGACCAGCATGATAAGCCTGTGAGAAGACACTTAAATGGTGAATATAGGGTCCAGTGCCAAAAATCTCCATAGAAGGGCTGCAGAGGAGCTGCAGCCTTTTTTCCAGGCCACCAGCTAGAAGAGCAGTCACATAGGATTCCCTGTGTATTGTCTGGATTAGTGCCCCACCTTCCTGGGAATAGGTTCATCTTATTCTTAAGGAGTGAACTGGTCTCATACTTGATGAAACACAGAACCAGTGTGTTCTCCAAGGTGATCATATTACCATTACTGAAAAGCTGGATTCTGATCAATGGTCACTCCACTTTATAAACATCCATCAAATGTAATGGCTGCATTTTGTGTTGCGTGAAGTGATCCTTGAATGTACTTTATTGTGCAGCACTTTGATTCTTGTCAGGGTACTGTATAAATCTATACTTTCTAAACAGCATTCATCACTAATCGTATGTTATAATAGAAAAAAGCCATTGCAACAGAACATTGTCTCTGGATAAAAGGTTTATCATTTTAAATAGTTTTAAATCAGTGGAGCAGAGCTCTGGTATTGAGCCAGAAATATTTAGATACATTTTGGGTGGTGCTAGACTGGAAATGTGTTGTACGGACATAGATGGAAAATTTCACCAACAACTTTAACTAATCCGCTAATGAACTTAATAATATCAAGAGAACAAGAACTGCAGCTTCTTACTTCACTCACTGAGATTTCCCTTCTTACTTATTTTTTACCATACCATTATAATGTTATGAGTATTCTTTATCAATTAGTGAAATAATAAATGATAACCGGAATTAGTATGATAACAAACACACTACAAGTGACACCATATTAATAAAACAATATCATAATATTAATGTTAAGAAATTTCAAATTAGTTATGCATATCAAATACTATGAAAAAATTGTTTTCAGAACTTTTTCCTTTAGTTTACTTATTGATTATGTTCAGATTTAATAGTTTTATCTATTTAAGTAGTTTTACATATAGGTCATAGTATCGCAGCAGTTAGAGACAGAAAAGACCTAGTAGGATATCTTTTCCATGTCCCTGCCAAGGCAGGATTGTTCTTTTACAGTGCTAGTTTATTTTAACATATTGTCCAGTATAAAGTACTGATCCTATATCAGAATCTGCACAGCAGACTCTTGTGGGAGCACAAGTTTGACTGAAGTCAATGGGACTGTTCAGGAGTAAGAGCCCTTCTGCAAGACTCAGTTGTAGGATCAGGACCTAATTTTTAAAAAGTCTCAAGCTGTGGAGTTTTCAGCTCTTTCTTTGAACTATTAGTTACATAAAATATTCCTACTATCAATTGTTATTGGCTGTTAACTCTATCTTTAAAGTTAGTATTTAATTATTAGTTACTAGTAGGGCTGTCGATTAATCGCAGTTAACTCGCGCGATTAAAATTAGCTGTGATTAAAAAGATTAATCACATTGTTAAACAATAGAATACCAATTGAAATGTATTAAATATTTTGGATGTTTTTCTACATTTTCAAATATATTGATTTCTATTACAACACAGAATACAAAGTGTACAGTTCTCACTTTATCTTATTATTTTTGATTACAAATATTTGCACTGTAAAAATGATAAACAAAAGAAATAGTATTTTTCAATTCACCTCAGACAACTACTGAAGTGCACTCTCTTTATCGTGAAAGTGTAACTTACAAATGTTTTTTTTGTTACATAACTGTACTCAAAACCAAACATTGTAAAACTGTAGAGCCAACAAGTCCACTTAGTCCTACTTCTTGTTCAGCCAATTGCTAAGACAAACAAGTTTGTTTACATTTACGGGAGATACTGCTGCCTGCTTCTTATTTACATTGTCACCTGAAAGTGAGAACAGGCACGCATTCTCATGGCACTTTTGTAGCCGGCGTTGCAAGGTATTTACGGGCCAGATATGCTAAACATTCATATGCCCCTTCATGCTTCAGCCACCATTCCAGAGGACAAGCTTCCATGCTGATGACGCTTGTTAAAAAAATAATGTGTCAATTAAATTTGTGACTGAACTCCTTGGGGGAGAATTGTATGTCTCCTGTTCTGTTTTACCTGCATTCTGCCATATATTTCATGTTATAGCAGTCTCGGATGATGACCCAGCATATGTTCGTTTTAAGAACACTTTCACAGCAGATTTGACAAAACGCAAAGAAGGTACCAATGTGAGATTTCTAAAGATAGATACAGCACTCGACCCAAGATTTAAGAATCTGAAGTGCATTCCAAAATCTGAGAGGGATGAGGTGTGGAGAATGCTTTCAGATGTCTTAAAAGAACAATACTCTGATGCGGAAACTACAGAACCCGAACCACCAATAAAAAAAATCAACCTTCTGCTGGTGGCATCTGACTCAGATGATGAAAATGAACATGCGTCAGTCCGCTCTGCTTTGGATCGTTATCGAGCAGAACCCATCATTAGCATGGAAGCATGTCCTCTGGAATGGTGGTTGAAGCATTGAGGGACATATGAATCTTTAGTGGGCCTGGCACATAAATATCTTGCGATGCTGGCTACAACAGTGCCATGCGAATGCCTGTTCTCACTTTCAGGTGACATTGTAAACATGATGTGGGCAGCATTATCTCCTGCAAATTGTAACCAAACTTGTTTGTCTGAGCGATTGGCTGAAGTAGGACTGAGTGGACTTGTAGGTTCTAAAGTTTTACATTGTTTTATTTTTGAATAAATTATTTTTTGTACATAAGTCTACATTTGTAAGTTCAACTTTCATGATAAAGAGATTGCACTACGGTATTTGTATTAGATGAGTTGAAATATACTATTTCTTTTGTTTTTTACAGTGCAAATATTTGTAATCAAAAATAAATATAAAGTGAGCACTGTAAACTTTGTATTCTGTGTTGTAACTGAAATCAATATATTTGGAAATGTAGAAAACATCCAAAAATATGTAAATGGTATTCTATTATTGTTTAACAGTGCGATTAATCACGATTAATTTTTTTAATCGTGTGATTAATCGCAATTAAGTTTTTTAAATCGCTTGACAGCCCTAGTTACTAGCTATTGCTAAATAAATGGCGAAGTGCATTTTTGCATCTTCTAGGTCACATATAGCATGCGAAATGTACAGACATTTCTGAACTGTATTGTATCATCAGTTATATCAGTTTTTAAGCAGAACTCCCCATTGTCTTCAAAGGCAACATGACCCTACATGTATATATGCAAGTGCTTACTTATGCAGCTGTACACCAGGAGGGATGGGACCATCTGCAAATGGCCTTAATCTGAATCACAATTGTACCTCCCTGTATCTTTACCTTTGTTCCTGACTCCATCCTCTCTAATCTCTCTCAGCATCTTCTTTATCTCTTGCTACACCTTTTTCTTTGTCATTTGGTAACTGACCCTCATAGTGACAGGCCTTGGTTGGATCATAACATAAGCCTTCATCATGGCGTTAGGGAAATTAGTTATAGCCTGGTGTCTGATAATGGATACTTGTGTTCTATTCCTGATCCCAGAGTTTTGCCATTAACTTCAATACATGCAAGAAAGAGCCTTATATATCCTGAATTCTAATTATAAATTTATTTTTAATAACATTGGTTTGTTCTGGGATTAGAGGGGAGACCATGTGAAACCAAGCATTTATTTTGTCACAGATTAAAGATTTTTTAACAAGTTATCTCAGCACTAACTGTAGTTTTGGGTCATTTCAGTTAATGTATGAACTTATGATATGTTGAATGTATGAAACCATCAGCAAGTGTTTTAAGTTAAATCCACAACAGCACTGGAGCAGTTTCCATTCCCCACCCTGATGCTAATGGTGACTATAGGGCCAAACCAGCTTCAGCACAAATTGGAGCAGCCTAGGAACTGCTCTAACTTGCACCCCCATTTAATGCCCCCAAGAGCCCATTACATAAAGGACAGCTGAAACACAGCATGCTCTGGTCCTGCCTGCTCCAGTTCTTTTAAACCCTCCCCATTGTCTGTGTCATGGGATACCTGAAGCAAGTGGCATAGAGCCAGCTACATTGGCTTTATGCCACCTGGCATGTGGCAACTTCCCAACAAATTGGAATACTCAGGGGCAGCTTTCTGACTGTTCCGCACTGCCTGAGCAGTGAAAAGCAGTTGAAAGAAAAAGGAGTCTGAGCTACTATCTCTTTAACTTTATCTTAAAATGGCTACCAATTTAAAGCCCTGATTCCGGGAAGCACCCATATTCAGGAAGGGCATTTGAGCCCACGCTTAATTTTAAGTGGGTAATTTAAGTCTCACTGAAGTCAATGGGACATAAGAACATGCTTTTAAGTTAAGTACTTTCCTTAATAGAAATGGAGGTAAGCATGTGCTTAGTACCTTCCTGAATTGAGGCCTAAGGTAGGGCCCCGATGCGATCTTCTCTTGTTCTCTTTATGTTGCTGCACGGGGTGCTAATTAATCAATACTCTATTCTGCAAGTTAAGTAGTTAGTAAACTTTTTGTACAGCTGCATCTTGAAGTCAGTTCAGTGGGACAAGAGACTGTATGGGTCTTCTTCATACTTAATCCCACACTCTCATTCAAAAGCCAGGATAGCAATCTCAAATTTTATCAAGTGCTGGCGTTCCTTTGGGTTGTGAACACATGCAACGATCATCTTCCAGTCATATTCACACAGCATTACACCTCCAGCGCCAATCTTTGTTGTCACAGTGCAGTCTCATTGAGGAATTATTCCGGTTTGATTTATTATTTGCTGAATAATGATAGCAACTATATAGTGTTTAAATGAATGCTTAAATTGATTAATACACATTCTTTCAATATTGTCTGCAAAGAATATGTAAATCTTGGAACTATGCATTGTGAAGACTATCTGTTATTAGTACTGCTTACGTTTATAGGTGTTCTCCCTTGGCATAGGCAGTTCAGGTAGCAGCTTTGGAGGCAGAGGCCTACGAAGTAGTTTTGGTTGCTCAAGCATTTTCGGCCTAATAATTATTCTTGCTGGACAACTGAGGAGGATTCAAAAGTTTGAAAATTCTAGATATAAGGCAAACAAAAGAAAAATCATCTCTGGATTTATGTACTGACTTGTAAATGTCTGCCCAGATATAGTCGCTGTTAGAAAACACCAGTATAAATGGATGAAAATGTTTACTTAGTAACTAATTTGACAATTTGCTAATTATCAGCAGCGTTTTTGGAAGCTAAAAGGTAACATTATTAAAAAATAATCTAGCTGTTCTGTTAATTTAGGTTTGGAATACTCATATTAGAGAATGACGTATGACACCGTTGTTATAAAAGTGAGGCAGTGGTTGGTTCTGTCTCTAAGAAGCAAAGGGTGAAAAAAAGGAAACCTAATTTTCGCTGCATGAAACTTTTGGAAAGTTCACAAAAAGCAGCATTTCTAAACATGGATAAACAGATGTATAGTTAATAATAAAAATTCAATTTTAAATTGGTATTTCTTAATGCTGTGGGTAACAGTTAATTCTTCTGATTTAGTGAAGCAGCTGGGCATAAGCATATTATACTTGTGTTCCATGCTTCAAATTGGCTTCTCATCTGCTTCAGCATGTTTTCAAGACCATGGATTTTAATTTATAAAAGTTTAATTTTAATCTGTTTTAAGTGCACCGTAAATTGCTATTATAAAATATGTATGTGGTGGTGTACAGTACATGAAAACAGAGATAGCCTCTGTCCTAAGAAATGTGTCTATCCTGTAGATTTTTGGAGATGCAACACATTGGTGAGGATGATTTTATTTTTTTGTTTGTAATTTATAAACTCACTCTTTAGTAGGGTTACCATATTCAAACATTTAAAAAAGAGGACACTCCACGGGGCCCCGGTCCTGCCCCCAGCCCCACCCCAACCCCGCCCCTTCCCCGCCCCCAGCCCCACCCCGGCCCCGCCCAACTCCGCCCCTTCCCCACCCCCATTCCAACCCTTTCCCCAAAGTCCCTGCCCCAACTCTGCCCCCTCCTCTGAGCACCCCACATTCCCCCTCCTCCCTCCCGCTCTGATCTTGGTTGGGGGTTGCTAAGTGCTTCCCTGCTCCCCACTCGCCCTGCAGCCCCTGCACTCCCCCGCCCCTGCAGCCTCTGCGCCCCCCACCTGCCCTGCCCCTGCGCCCCCCTGCCCCTGCAGCCTCTATGCCCCTG